CATCTCACTTCCCACAGCTCATGGCCCTTAGGAAATGCCAGGCCCCTGCTTTCCAGCCTGCCCCCTCCTCCCATAACACCCTGGCCCAGGCCCCTTCAGTCCATCCCCCTCGGCAGCTAGGAGACTTCTTACAAAGCACATATTTGATTGTCACCCCCAGCTTATAAGCTTCCTAGCACACAGGATAAAACCCAGGGTCCTGACTCAGCTTCCTAGGGCCCGGTCCCTCCCCTCTCCACTGCCACCCCCTGTGATCCCCCAGCTCCTTGCACACCTTCCAACCAGCCACAGCGCTGCCACAGGCCCTTTGCACCTGCTCCTCCTGTACCCTGGCCTCTTCCTACAGACCTCAGCAGGGCTTGGCCTCACTTCCTTCAGGTCTCTGCTTGATTGCTGCCGAGCACCCCACCCGGCACAGTCATGCTCCCCCTCCCTCAGCTCCTCTTCCTTTAGAACACTTCCCTGCTTGACACTTGGTGCCAAGGGCAGGGACCTTGTCTGTCTTGTTTAATACTGAGTGCTTGGCCTTTGGGGTGCACTCGGTAAACATTCGTGTAATGAGGTAATGGAACATTGCACTCCACAAAGTAATGCAGGGGTCTTGGCTAGAGTATTTCTCAGAACCTTCAGCACACCAGCAAGCATTAGGAGTGTTCAGGAAAGGGAGATCTTGGCAGTTTCCCAAACTAACCCTGCCACAGAACCCTCTCACTGCGCCTCCCCTGGCAGAAGTGGTGCCGAGCAGAGCCCTTGGAGGGTCGAGCCCAGCAGCCCTCAAAGCCCCCAAGATGACTGCCTGGGACCTCCTGGGCTCTGTGTGTGTCCCCTGTCTGCACATGACCCATTCCTGTGCCTGCACCCCCTCCACCCATGCCCTCTGTGTGCAGCACCCCCAAACACATCCATCCTCTCCTGCCCATGCCCCACTCCCACCCACACCCCTCTCCTGTGCCTGTACCCCTCCTGTGCACACCCCCTACTGAGCACAGGCCCCCCCTCCTGAGCACACACCCCCTCCTGAGCACACGTCCTCTCCTGTGCACATGCCCACTCCTGACCACATGCCCCCTCCTGCGCCTGTACCCCTCCTGAGCACACGCCCCCTCCTGAGCACACGCCCCCTCCTGAGCACACACCCCATCCTGGGTACACACCCCCTCCTGTGTACACGTCCCCTCCTGAGCACACGCCCTCTCCTGTGCACATGTCCTCTCCTGTGCACACGCCCCCTCCTGAGCACACGCCCCTTCCTGAGCACATGCCCCCTCCCAAACACATCTCCCTCCTGAGCACACACCCCCTCCCGTGCCTGTACCCCTCCTGAACACATGCCCCCTCCCCTGCACCTGCCTCTCCATGACTGAGTCCCATGCTCAGCACAGAGTGGATGTTTGGGGTCCAAGGCTACCATACACAGATTGACTAATGGGTCACCAGGCAGATGTCATGCCACTACCAGGTACCAGGCCACCAAACCCACGTGCAGGACTGAGCCTTCTCCAGCCCCAGGTGGCTTCAGGTCCACAGTCTTGGGCTCAGGGCCCTCTTAGGCCTCCCTCCTCCTCCTCCCCCGCACCCCGCTGCTCACCTGTGTGCGGCTCTGGGCCCCCATCACCCTCTTCCATCTGTCTCTCGCTGCTGATGTCCACTGCACGGTGCTGGCCACGCTGCTGTCATGAGACAGCCAACGAGCTTCCTTCCTGGTGGGACCAATGGGCCTCGGGAGAACTGGTGACGAGAGAGAGTCGGCAAAGGACGGGGGCAGTGCCTCTGCCCGGAATCGCTGCCTGGGTAAGCGAGAGACCTCCGGGTCCGGTGAGAAGCTCAGTCTCCTCAAGAAGAAGTTAGGTTCTGAGGGCTGTGGAGCTCCCTGACAATGTCCCGGTCTGCTTCACACCCACGGCCAAACCTGGCGATCTCGGGGTGTCCCTGGAAACATTTGTGTGCCCCTGTGGGGACGGAGGGAGCGGTGGCTGGCCCGATGTGGACTTGCCATTGCTGGGGACGGCTCAGGATACGACAGCAGAGGAGAGGCTGTGCCTGCATCACCTCCAGATCCCAGGACCCGACTGTTAGAACCAACCAACGTTCCCACCACAGCACAGCGGGGAGCAGGCTGTGACCTGGAGCCCCCAACTGAAAATGAACAAAGGCCCCATCCAATCACAGAAGCACCTGGAAGACTCTGCACTGGTGGTTGCGTGAGAATCCTCGATACAATCAACCAGTCTGGGCCGTAAGAGGATCTTCCCACAGCAGCTGAAAACACAGCAGCGATGGCAAGAAGCTGGTGGGGAGCAGGTGCCCAGGAGAGCCCTCAGCCAGTGCTGTTGCTGTGGGTTTCCTGCTCGATACAATCAACCAGTCTGGGCCGTAAGAGGATCTTCCCACAGCAGCTGAAAACACAGCGGCGATGGCAAGAAGCTGGTGGGGAGCAGGTGCCCAGGAGAGCCCTCAGCCAGTGCTGTTGCTGTGGGTTTCCTTTTGGGGTGATGAGAATGTTCTGGATCTGTACAGAGGTGGTGGTTGCACAGCACTGTGAATTAACTAGATGCCACCGAATCGTTCACTTTAAAGTGGTTAATTTTATGTTATGTGAATTTCATCTCAGTTAAAAAAAAAAAAGTATGTCTGGCAAGAGCCAGTTGGTAAGCAATGCTCTTTTCTGTGCCTGTCCAAGACACCTTCACTACCACGTGGAGGTGGTGAGCAGGGCCTCCACACACAGTTGTACAGGTTGGTCACTGCACAAGGGGCTGCCGTCCCGCTGGTGCTGTTCTCACCCAGTGCTGGACAGCGTCTGCTCAGAGGAGGAGGGGTCTTTTTCTAATCCACACAGAGGTGCTCTGTGAGCTCTCTGGCCTTGATAGGGAGACCCCTCCCTTCCTCATGGCCTTTACAAAAAAATTAACACCCCATCATCATCCTTACCCTCTGTCTCCGATCGGACGGCTTTCTTGTGGCCAGATGGGTGCTCCTATTTTTGAAGTGGGTGAGGAAGCAAGCCCAGGCCTTTGCAGCCCAGCCCATAATTTAGTTAATGACTTCCTGTGCTGAGCACGCTGGCAGATGTGTTCAGACACCCAGAGGAGCTCGGCACGTTGAATGGAAAGATCCGGGGGACCACAGCGTCGGGGTCAGAGGAAAGATGTCTGGTTGCACTAGGAAGCGTCCGGAGTGGATAAATGGGCTGCACAGAGACATTTTCCTAATTTCTCTTTTCCTAAAAAAAAAATCTTAGCCTAAGTGGCATATGAGACAACATGCTGAATGTCTGAGCCCTGAAGTTGCTGGTGAGCTAACACCACGTACCTCGGGAGGCCAGATGTGCATCATTTTTACACATCAAAGAAGATGACAGGAT